AATCTCGGTTGCGAATATTTGAATGAGCACGCACTTGCATATTTGTTCCAAAGCTCGGTGATCTTGTTTCGATTGATCAGATCTCTCTATCCCTCAACTACCTACTCTAAACTCGTTGTTCCTGTAAGGATTACAGCATGACAACTGTACCTGCCGATTACGACAGTGCACGCCTAACTCCTTGAAACTCTCACGAACGTACTAACCATAGTAGAGTTGCACGCTACTTTTGGTGAGTACGCAAGTGCATCCCCTCCCGCCTATTTCTTGCTCATTTTATCTTTGATAGATTGTTATTGATTGATTACTTACTCTTGATTATTGAATATGTCTTCAGGATATTCTATACTAGGAAGACCACCATTTAAGAGAAGAACGATGAACTCGAATGTTCAATGTTGGACCTGCTATCAGTACGGACACGTCTCTCGTCAATGCCCGTATCGTCAGGGAAACCAGCAAAATGCATTCCCCGCCCCCGTTACCGCCAATCCCTCCGCACCACCTCTGTTAATACCCAGCCACTTGCGCTTCCTGCCCCACCACTTGCGCCTCCAGCCCCACCCGCCGCCCCAAGCCCCCCTCCCCCACAACTTCCTGTTATTCCCCGCTTCAATCCAAATCCCAACCCGAATCGTTCTCGGTTATTTAACCAGGTTTCTGCTATCGCCTCGCGAGTTGAGGGCATGGCCTCTTGGATAGACATACAGAAGGCAAGGGATGAAGAGGCGCGTATCAAGGTCAAAGAGGAAGAAGAATTGGCTAATAAAAGGCTTGCTGAAGAAGCGAAGGCTAAGAAGGAAGAACGCAAGAAAGAAGCAGACGAGGCTAGGAAGCGGGAAGAACTCGAAGAGAAGCACGTAGAAGCCAAGCTCGCTCAGCAGTGCCACGCCGATTATATGAAAGCGCTCCAAGATTCTTTTGCGTCATACACTGCTGAGATGGCAAAAGTCTGGGGTGGATCGGCGAATGCTAAAGTTTCGAAGGATTCGAAGGAGATACAGTTGCTTAAGGCGCAGCTGGAAAGCATGAAGACCGGACCCACCACCTCCACAGCCGGGGATGAAGTGCGATCGCAGATCGAAATGCTCACCCGTAAGATCAATGATCTTACAGCAGAGCTTGCTAAGGTGACCGGCGAGAAGAAGAGATCGAATGGGGTTGTGATCATGTCAAGCCTGCCCATCGAATCCGCCAAAGGCAAGCAGAAGATCGTAGACGGAGCTTCCATCAATGAAGATAGATGGGAGAGGGAAATTGAAACAATGAGGAAAAGGCTACAAGCGAAGGAGGAGAGAGAAAGAGAGAAATAAATTAAGGAAATAAGCGAGGTGATTCGGCGGTTGACTTCGAATGTTCCACCGTCAAGCGAGCCACGCGTCGTGCAGACAGACCGGAAGACAGCAGTAGACCCTTCTCCTTCTGGATCTAGACCTCCCCCTGCCACGGTCCTCCCGCGCACTGCGAACCCATCCTCTGCTAACCTCTCTTCCCCTTCCGCCTCCCAACCTCCGCGTACCACTCTGCCCCCCTCACCACCTTCGCTCAGGAGAGTCACTACACCTAGAGGAAGAGGAATGTCAATTGATGACATGCTTCAGAGACCACTTATCTCGCCGATGGGATTGAGGCCACGTAGGCAGTTCTCGGCCTCTATCCGACCACCGGCCAATGGTCGTTTGGAATTTATGTTAGAGCAAAAACGTAACCTTATGAAGCTTCCTAGGGCCGATCTTAAGGCGGAATGTGAGAAGGTAGGCCTAGATTACTCAGTCAAGGACAAGTCTGCTACGGAGTTGGCTGAATTTTGCACGCGTCAGTGCTTTGACGAAGCTGCAAAGAGAAGCAGCGAGACGGAAGACAGTAGCCAATCCGATGAGAACTGAATTTCTCCTCTCGGAGAGGACGAATGTTGGGCATGGTGCTTAGGGCTTCTAAAGGCCAGGGAATGTAAGAGTTTGGACTCACGGTTTCTTTCGCTGATTGAGAATGCACTGCGTACGATGATCTGTATTATGATCCTGTCAAATGATATTCCCTGGGCCAGCAAGTTTTCAGCGCTCATTAAACGATCTTTTGATAATGGTTTTCTCCCTGATGCTCGCCATCCCTGTGTTTATCTGCTTCTTTCTCCTTTTTTTAAGCAATGTTATATAGGATTAACCATTCGAGATACTGACCATCGATGGACTGACCATGTGCAAAAAACTACCCGTTACTCATCCAATCTGAAACTGTATAGATGGCTTAAAAGGGTAGGTTGGGTTAATTATATCGCTATTCCACTCGTTTTCTCCGTGACAAACTTGGAGATGATTGAAAAAAAATTGATAAAAATATTATGTCCATCCTTGAACCACCGAGACAGGAAAAACAAATGGAAAACAAGACAACGACCCATAAAAGCTAGGAAGGAGCGAGGTAAGTTGACCACTCACCCCAACCCGGAAGCAAAACCCATCGAGTTTGAATTCAGAAACCAGAAATCTTTTAGCCTCTGCGAAATCCTGGTTAATGTAACACAAGTTGCGCACGACTCAATTACTGTTTTCTCCTCTGGAGGTAAATTATGGTTTGATTCCTGAAAGATAATTAAAAGAAGATTTGGATGCTCAGTGGTCTGCACTAATGGAGTTTGTTATGAATTGAAGAAAGCAAGATACATCTTCGAACAAGGAGGAGCTATCTCGTTCATAACTATTTCACGTAATTCTTTCAAATTATTGGAACAGAAACCTCGGTTGGTTTCTCTCCTTACGCACCCTGCCTCTAGGAGAAATCTCTACACTCTTGATCTGACTGAACTGTGCATTATGTTTCAAGATGTTGCTTGTATTGAAAACAAAGCCTCTAGGCAATCTCTGAAAGGAATCATCTCAACTGTCGTCTGCAAATGTTTCAACACCAACATTCGGAAGAGAATTATGGTTAAAATCAACTACTCCCCCTTTCTGTGCAAAACCAGGATCCGCGAACTCTGTGTTGATTTGCTGCGGGACCAAACACACCCTCTGGTATTTAAACTACTTACTAAAAGAATGAGAGTGGTTTGGACAAAAAATCGTTCCATTGGGGACATTTTGCAAAACCACAGGAAATATGCCTCTCAATCTGTGATTATCTGCGAATGTGAAAATCTGTTGCTGCCCAAAATAAAATCACATGTCTGCTTTAGGCTGCCCACCCAGGAGAACGTTCATCCGCTTCTAATGAATTCTAAAAACATAGCAATTCATACGAGACTCAACTCTCTCCCAGAAATCTGAACTCCGCCATTCGTACTGCCCTCTCTAACCTCCCACATACTTCACCTTCCAAGGAAGACCTTCTCAAGTGCTTCAACCTATCCCTCGCCCTATCCGGTATCTCTGAGCAGGAAGTACGAAACTTTGCCAAAACACTCTCAGGCCTAGTTCTGGCCCCAATTGATCATAACCTAGGGACACCCTCGTCTGTTGCCAATCTATTTACCAATCGGGGTTGGACAAACTATTCTTAGAAAACCCAGGGTTTCGTTCATGTGCTCTCCCTTCCATGGATGCCTTCTATGATAAATTCTGTGAAAGGTATAAAACCCTGAAATTTGATAAAATTGCCCCCCTAAAGAAAGGAGGAAAAATCGGCAATGGGTACGGAATTCCTAAACACAAAGACATCGAGAAATTTAGACCTATATGCCCCTCATTCTCTGAACCATCGAATACACTATGCAGGTTCATCGCCAAAGGACTGAACCTCATCCTTTCAAAAATCCCCTTTGCCTATACCTTCAACCTCCGAAGCACAACCGATCTACCTAACGCATTGAAAGTTATCAACAATAAGAATAGGGGTAACCAAAGGGAAATCATTGGAGCTAGCTTCGATATCAAAGAAATGTTTTGTAAACTTCCGCACGGCCGTATTATGGATGCGATAGATTGGGCCTTGCAAATTATCGATGAGATAGATCTCATCGATGTCCGAGTATCACGAATCAGCAGGCATGCAAACTTCGCAAAAATCAATGGGAAATGCAACTGGGTCCGCATCCCCTCATCCGTCATTCGCTCCTTCGTTCACTTTGATCTCACTAATTCCTATGTATTTGTCGCAGGACAGCTGCTTAGGCAAACTATTGGTATCCCAATGGGTAAGCCCACAAGTACCCCAATCACATGTATATTATGCTCCTGGTATGAATCCATGTTCTTACTTAGTCTTGGCGCTGACAAAAAGTTGGTTGCTGGTGTGCGTCTTATGAATGATGTGTCGCTCTTCCTTTTGATTAGAAGAGGACGCGTAGCAGAATAGAAAAAGGCGGTCGAAATCTTGGGAAGATTCCTACAATGCTACGGCTCGGACTTAACTCTGGAGAGAACTGATGAAGGCAAAGGAATCTGGCCCTTCCTAGGTACCACCATTGAGATACTTAGCAAGGCCGAACTTATCACTTCTACTTCCACTACCAAGAATCAAGAGGTCCTCCATCTGGGAATTCAGATCCAAAGTCTCCAGGATTTTTGTTCCTTCTCTAGCAGAGAACAAAAAATTGATGTTGTAACTTCATTCCTGCACCGCGCCTGGCGACTCACCTCTAAACCCTCCGGGGAACTCCCGTTCCTCCTGGCTTTCCAACACGAGCTGCAGTTACGCCACTTTCCTGACGATATCTTCCTATAGGCTCTGTCCTCGTTCTCCAGACGTATTGGTGGAGCCTGGGACGTCTCGGTTAACGTCCTAAGTTACGGTCGGTTACAACCTACATTCCCATAGAATCTCCCACACCCTGCGGATATTAGAAGTAGGCAAAGTTTTCTCTTTTTACTCTCTCTCTCTCTCTCTCTCTCTCTCTCTCTCTCTCTCTCTCTCTCTC